AAAGTAAGAATATTATTTAATTATATATTATTAAGTGATAATTCAAATCATTCGTACCGAAATAATCTCATCGCATTTCCCTCCATTTTTTTTTCCATTTCATAACCGAATAAAAAAAAAAAAAATTTATAGACTATAAAAAAAAAAAAAGAAAGAAAAAAAAACATTGAAATAAATTATAGAGAGAGAGAGAGAGAGAGAGAGAGAGAGAGAGAGAGAGAGAGAGAGAGAGAGAGAGAGAGATAGAGAAAGAGAGAAAAATTTATATATATTATTTATTTATTTATTTCAATTGCAATATTCAATATCTTTTTTTTTTTTAAATTATTATTATTATTTTTTTTTACTTCATCTTCACATGGGTTCCCGCATACGCGCACACGCACGCACACACGCACACAAATAAAAAAAATTTATACCAGACGGTTTTTTTAAGACGTGGAAAATAAAGTCAAAAAAAAAGAAATAAAAAAAAATTTATATACATATCGGTAAGAAATGTCGAGAAAGAGAGAGAGATAGTGAGTGAGAGAGAAAAAGGGGGGAAGAGAGAGAGAGGGGGGAGAGAAAGAGAAAGTAAAAGAAAAAAAAATTGAAAATTGAATTCGATCCATCGAATGTGAAAAAACGAATTTTTGATAAATTGTCGCAATAATAATAATAATAATAACAACAATAACTATAAATATTTAAAAAGAAAAAAAGAATAATAATAATAATAAGAAAGAAAAGTCAATTTCTTTAAGTTATTTATTTTTTTAAATACTTAAAAAAAAAAGTGTAAATAGAATAATGATGGAAAAATAAAAAAAACGTTTTTCCTTTCTTCTACAGGCACGAAAAAAAATTATATGAAGAGATAATAATTAAAAAAAAAATAACGTTGAGGGTTTTAAATATATATTTTTTTCTATTGACACGATATTATGTCCTCGTCCACGTCGTATCGGTAATCATTAAATAAAAAAAAAAAAAAAAATTGTTTTAGAATTTTAATAATTATGACAATGACGTAAATGATTAGAAGTCCTTTGAAAACGTAACAAAGGTTATTTTACCCTTTTTCCTTTTTTCCTTTTTCCGAAAGAATTTAAAAATAAAAAAGAACAAAATGAAATATAAAAACATTTTATAATTACAACAAAAAAAAAAAAATTTTTTATTAACATCAAAAGGAAAAAAAAAAAAATTCAAAATGGTCGGATCAAAGATTTTTTTATTAAATAAATATTAAATTTCATGCGGCGTAACTACCTCAATTTAATAATAATAATTATTATTATTTTCCTTTGTCTCAAAGTGTAGTTTTATTAATTTCGAATGAAATTCTATTATTATTATTATTATTATTATTATAAATTTTTCGAACGTTTTCGGTCACGCATTCACATTCAACGTTCATTTTTTACATACGCGTCCATGAAATGTCAAAAAAAATAAATAAAATAAACACGAACGGAGTAATAATTAGTAAAGTATTGTTATTATTATTTATTTTGGCGGGAAATGTTTTAAAAATGTTTTTGTTTATTATATTTATTTAATCACCGCCTTTTTTTAAAAATTTATATGTTACGTGTTGGAAAAAAAAGAAATGGAGGATTTTTCGATTTTTTTTCATTTTTTATTTTTTTTTAAACTTTTAGGTACGATTGAAATTTTCTTCGAGAGAGAAAACGAAAGTGAGAGAGAGCTAGAGGATAGACCAGGAGAATAGAGGGAGAGAGAGAGAGAGAGAGAGAGAGAGAGAGAGAGAGAGAGAGAGAGAGAGAGAGAGGATTGAGATAAACACAGACTGGAAGAAGAGAGAATGAATAAAAAAAAAGGGAAAGAACGAGAGAGAAAAAGGAGGAAAGACTGAGAGAGAAGAGAAGTGTGTGCGTGTGTGTATATGAGAGAGAGAGAGAGAGAGAGAGAGAGAGAGAATGAGAATACAACATAGTGAAAAAAATATAGAGAATGAGGGTAAAGAGAAGAGAGAAAAAGAAAGAACAAGAGAGAGAGAATGATTTAGGAAAAAAAAGAAGAGAGAAAAATAAAGAACAAGAGAGAGAGAATGATTTAGGAAAAAAAAGAAGAGAGAAAAATAAAGAACAAGAGAGAGAGAATGATTTAGGAAAAAAGAGAAGAGAGAATAAGGAAGGAAAAGCGGAATTATGTTAGAGAATGTAAGAGAGAGAGAGAGAGAAAGAGAATGATGTAAGAA